AAAGAAATCATGGTGTCTCCTTATGCTGTGTCATAACCAGCATTTGATATTATTAAATCCTAGCTGATATTCCTCCCCTCTTATCCTGAAGAACACCTCTCTGGAAAATATAGCCTGACTTTTAAGGTATAAATCTACCTCAAGCCAAATTTAGTTTGATCCATTGGCTTATACTGCTCTTGTGAAAAGCAAACAAAAAAAAAAAAAGGACCCAGGGCCTTCCTCTAAGTTTTGTCAACTTTTGAAAAGCTAGTACCCTGCCAGGAAATATTTGAGAGAGTCCTGAGCTCTCAGAGTACCAGGAATGCCCTTGTAGAAAGAAAAGCATGAGGGACTGCCAGGTCTCTTTTGCCCTGTCACCTTTGCACATTGTGACTCATGAGAAAGGGCACAACCTCTCCTCATCATGCTCTACTTTATTTTTAAAAGTTCCAGTAAAAGGGGAAAAAATTTAACAATAGAGGTATGGGGTGTTTCACCAACAAATACAAATTTTTTCTTCGTCCTGAACCAAAATGAAGAGAGGTTTGCATTTACCCAAAGTTGCATTTAGGATCATGAGAAAGAGCTTAGCTGTTTTACCAATCTGGAGACACACATTAGTACAGAGAAAGCACATGCCATTTCCCTCGAAGTATCTCAGTTTTAATTCCTTCCCACTCAAAAGCATAAGGAAAATAAATCTAATAAGGAGTATGTATGGGAATTGTCTGCTGTGGTCTTGGGAACATTTTTTATTATAATCGTGTCTGCCTGGACTCAATATACAATGCAATGGAATCCAAATCCTGTAACTTTTAAATATTTGAAACATTTAAATAGTTTCCTTTCTGCTAGAGTTTAATTAACATAATGTTCTTCTGCAAAATAGATGATTCTTACACATAGAAGTCCTGTAAAGCAGATGGCAGTAATTGCTGCAACAAAGAGTTTGCTGGCAAAGCAGAGACAGAGCTGCCCCCTCAGCCAGCAGGGATCAGATATTAGCTCATGGGGCTCTCTTGCTATTTGCAATGGGAAACATACCTTGCTGCAACAAGGCACAGGCTAATTTAAGAGGCTGCAATAACAGTTGCTGTACCACATCAGACAACTGAAAAGAATCCTGCTGGTGGTTCAAAAGGCCAGAAGTAAGAGTAGGTTTCATGGTTATCCTGTTTCTGGCAAATCTCTACCTGTGACATGACTATAATTTTCACCACATCAGACTTCTCTGTCACAACCAAAGTATTATTCCTAATAAATGGGAACAGGACATGGATTATAGGTTAGGAAAACTTCTGTTTACAAAACATGTTCATTCAGAGTTTTCAATATAAGGAAAAAATAGACACATCTACATGAAAAGCAAATTGACAGATTTAATAATATGTTTCCAAATCTGAACCCAGCATGAAGATTTTTTAAAAAGTAGTAACTTCTTATACCATGATTCCAAGTAAATAAAACAACCTCCCCATTATTGCTGGAACTGAACCTCCCACAGGGCTTAACTTTCTGTGACCTTGTCCTGTGAACATCTCTGCCTACTAAAAATAATACAGTTATAGTTGCAAAGACTTACCTAAAATAGGAAAGCAGTTAAGAGACATTCTTTAAGCTCACTGTTACATACAACTGCAGTAGGAGCTTGTGTACCCATCTGGTCAGCAAAAGAGTATCCATAGCTAACATGGCTACAACTTCTAAGAAGATGCTATTTTATTACAGACCTTTTTACATTAAATTGTGTCTTCACTAAAATGGATATTTTTTTAAGACAGGTCTTAGAAATAGCAAATAAATGTGTCATGCTGCAAAAGTTTAAATTTTTTTTTGCATTAACCTGACATTAATCTATATTACAGGGCAATTGATCTTTAAGTTTCTCTCCCCTGTTTTGTAAAGTTGGGGTTAACCAGGATGACTGCGGTACAGGTTAGCTACATTTGTAGTGTTCCTCCACAATAAATCCCAGGCTTCACCCTACATCAGGTCAAAGTGCCATCCATTTAGAATGTTAAGGATAGTAAGGTCTGTTACTCACAGCAGTAATCCTGGGATCCTCAAGATGAGCAATCTCGTTTACTTTAGAGAATGAGGATTTTCCGACGTTCTCCTTCTCTGCTCTTTTGGGTATCTTGGCTGGTGTCAGAAACAACTGAGCAAGGCACAGGACACTGGCAGGCACAGCCCTGCCCTGTGAGCCAGGGGGACACAGAGCTCAGCACAGACTTTGGGAAACCAAAAGGTACCTATGAAAAAGATGGGGTTACTCTCTTTGCAAGGGTTCGTAGTGACAGGACAAGAGGAGAGGGACACAAGCTGCTCCAAGGAAAACTCTCACTGGATGCAAGAAAAAATTACTGATTCTGAGTAACACATTGGAGAAGGCTGCCTAGAAAAGGGACAGAATCTGTTACTGGAAGTCTCAACTTGACAAGACCCTGGATAACTTCTGGTAAAGACCCTGATTTCAACACCAGTTTGGACCTTATGATCTGACTTTTCTAGTACTCCTTCTAAATAATTGCCTGCACCATGTAAATTTTGACCTGGGAAGTGAGCTTTATGTGATCTGTTCAAAAGCACCTAAAGGCAGAATTTGTACCCAAGAAAGATGTATTATAGGTCTGAAATATTTTGATTACACAAATTCCCTCTCCATAGGACAGCTCATAGATGGAGTGATCATATGGCCTGGAAAGACTCGATTATATATGAGATCTCTCATGCCTTTCAACACCTCTGAGTTCCATCACAGTCACAAGTCATTAATCCTTTTATTGGTGTAGATGGCACAGTATGAGTTCTACTGAAGAAATAACAAAGAAACAAGCCAAAGCACCACACATTAAGTACAATTTTAGTATCATCTGCTACATCTTTCCAATATCTTTGCAAATAAATTAATTTGTTCAATATTCATGGTGACTATTGCCAGGATATGTGCCATTTTTATGGAAGGAACCCCTGGTCCTGTATTTCCAAGCAATAAAATCCTGTCAGCACAACTAATGGATGTCAGATGAATGAGCTTAAAAGAGCAAACAAGGGCACTGTCAAAACCATGTCATCAACCCACAGGACTATTTGTAGTGATATTATACACTCCACTGCCTCCAGTCACAGACCAGGATAATGAAAATCCATGTTCAGATCTTGCAAAAATTGACACAGCCTGGCTAATAACCCACCAGAATTCAGGAACCATACTGGATATTAAAAAGGCAGCTTTATTTTTTGTGCTTTGCTTTTGATGGAGATTAAACAAATTGAAGAGGCGAGGTTATCAGGTCATTATTCGTATGTTACAGCTGTTCAGTCAGAGCTGGACAGACACTGCTTGCATGGCTTGTTGCCTGATTAAGAGGCAGAAAAGTCTCTAGTAGTCATAAAGGGGGGAGAGAGGAGAAGATTGTGATTAGGAAAAAAAACAAAGGCTGATAGAGTAACTGAGTAGAAATAGTTACCCTTTACACAAGTCACAGACACCACCTAAAAAATCCTCAAGGAAGGAAACTGGATGAGCACGTTACATATTTGAAGTGGGAATCAGAACAGTGGCTGTCACTGTTCTACATCAGAAATCTGGACTGAATCTTCCACCAGGGGAAGAACAAGCAGAGCAGAATGAAAGGTGAGATACTGAAGCATTCAGATTAATAATGCAATTTTTCTGTTTGCAAAGCACTTCCTTGCCAAGCAAGAGTTTATTTTACCTCTACATTAGAAGTTGTGTTTCTGAAGCCAACTGTTGCAGAACAGTGTAATGAACTGAAAGTATTGTTTACCTTGCATGCAGGAATGCTGAATTCTTTCAAGTGAATTCTATGATGCAGAATTCAGTATTGCAGAAGATTATGTATAATTTGAATGTATATATTTCATTTCTGAGTGAAAATTAATGAGTAATTTGTTCTTTAAACTGTAGTCTCAAAATACAACATTCATTTATATAGTTACCATATCTCTTACTATAATCATACATTATTTCATCAATATGGTATTCCTTGTTAGTAGTTCACATTTGATCTTTGTAAGTCAATAAACAGCACTTTATTTTCAAAAGGTTTCAAATAGCAACTTACTAAAATGCTTTCATTTTGAAACAGTAAATAGTAAAAATTATTTGAAGCACCTCAAAAACAAGGTTAGAAAAGGATTCATCATTCTGACTTTCTTTAGTCAAAGAAAATCTAATTATTCTATGAGAAACATGCATACAAGCATAGCTTTAAGTACCTTGTTTTCAAAGTTAAGATCATTAGCAAGATATAAAAGGTAAAAAAACACCTGTACATCAGGAAGCAGAAGATAATTATAAATACTAAATATTATTAAGTACTCCTCTCAATTAATTTATTTTTCTGAAGCCTATTGAAAAATGTCTGGTGACTGTGTGGAAACCTGGTTCTATGGGAAGTACAGCTGACATTCGGAGAAGGGAAATAAAGCAAAACAAAAAAATAAACAGATACTTTAAAGGAGAAATGTACAGACTCTGAATTGCTGAAAAAGTAATGCTAATACTTTTTATAGCTATGTCTTTGAAGCTTGTAATTCTTTTAATGGTACATTGACTCAATTCTTCCAGGCAGTGATATTAGAAAAAACAAGTTCTGCTTGTAATTCTTCTGGCACAAGATCTCTTAAAGTTCTTACTACCACAGAAAGAGAGACATTTCAATTTAATAAATTTAAAAGAAACTGTTACCTTCCCTTCAAACATCGCTGCTCTGCTGATGGCAAATCCTCTTGAAAACCGTTTGTACTTAAGAAAATAATGTGGGAAGTATTTCATTTTAAGATCATGGTAGCATTATCTTCATTCTGCATTATACAAGTACTTCAACACTATCTGTAATTTACTTATGTGTTTTAAAAGAAATGCATTCTGTGGTGTCTACATCATTGTTTATTGTAGAACGTTATACCTTCTGGCTATGGTTATGGCCTGTGTATTGTCTAAAGACAAACATTTTAAACTCATTTTAAATCATCTTTCACTTGCGATGCAGGTAGCTGGCTTTTTATTTGGAGTGTCACCTTGCTGGCACACACAGGTCACAGCTGCCCTGAGAAATGCCTCTGCTACACAGCCTCAAAGACTGCAGACTGCAAGAACAGAGGATTTACTGAAATTCCTGCCCATTTACCTCCTGAAATCCAGATCCTACAGCTGCAGAACAACCGTATCTGGAGAATCAACCAAAACGCATTCACTGCAACGCCGTTACTCAAAATCTTAGACTTGTCTAATAATTCTCTCTCAAGTGTGGCACCTGGTGCTTTCCAAAAACTGAGGTATCTACAGGTTTTAAACCTAACCAGAAATTTGATTCATTATATAGAAAACAAGACTTTCAGTTTCCTCCCACACCTAAAAGAACTGGACTTGTCATCCAACAGCATTATTCGATTGCCTGAGACATTTGGAAACAGCACAGGGAATATAACATTGCTCTCAGTGAAGCATAACAAACTGCAGAAAATGGAAAGAATTCTGCTGGAGTCACTTCCAAACCTGAAAGTGGTTCTCTTCAAAGATAATCCCTGGCAATGCAATTGTAATATCTTTGGCATGAAACTGTGGTTGGAGAGTTTTCTATACAGAGGTAAGGAATTTTTCTCATTACATATAGTGTACATAAGAACATTTAACCAGCATCTAACTGATCTTCACTTCTAGGGCTTAAAATTTATCCCACACTGTAGTTCACTTCCTCAAATAAACACAGTAAACTATATTCTTATGCATAGGTCAGAATGTGACTGCTTTTGTAAACACAGGTGGGCAAACTAGGATCAGTGAGGGACTTCGTATTAGCGCCCAGACAAAGCACAAGGGTCACACAACCACAGAGCAGGTACAGATGTGTTCTGTACTGTATCAATTCAGATATAGACAATTCTAAATATAAAATAAGTATACTTGTACATGTACACTTATTTTAATTCTACCAATATATTTTTGCTGAAAACCAACATACTGCTTTAAAGCTTTTACCTGTTGCATGATGGCAAGCATGAAGATAGATATCAGTACTGAGCAAACTTTAGAGAACCCAGGATTCTACTTTTTCTATCAATTACAACTTAGTAGTGCTTTAATATTTTATGAATACCTAGTATGACTTCCTAATATATTGTTAACCAGAAGAGGAACTCAATTCATTAGCAATTTCCTGACAGGAATGTGTCATGGCATCACACAGGGAAAAGTGACATTTATAAATAGTAGTGGCAGTATTTTGGTCACATCTTTTTTAAAATATATTCATGAGTTATGCTGTGAAAAAGATAGTGTGATTTATTTCTAAAGGAATTAAGTGTAAGAAGAAATTAATTTATTTCTCCCAGGAGGTATGTTCAGACTGAGAATTTGGAACAGCAGGGCAATTTTCTTTTTTCTAAATCAGGCTTTGATGCTTGCATGTGACCAAAGTAGTGATAGCCTGTCTCTGTACCAAAGTGGTGTGGAGCTTGTTGCAGCACAGGAGATGTGGAGATGGTCCCTGTGGCCTGAGACTGATGGAGTGCCTTTTAGAGGGATCAGAGCGCTGCAGGCCAGCTGGAAAACCACACTGGCCATGCAGGGACACAATTACCACTGCACAGCGGTCTTCAGCTGAGGTAAATTTCAGAAAAGACAAAAGGCTAAATTCCTCTCATCTTGAATAGGTAAAATATTACTTTATCGCAGGGCTTTAGCCTATTATGCTGGAAATTCAGCAGGGGTTGACTTCTCTGTGCAGAAGAATGAAATAATCCAAGATAAACATATCAGATCATCTTAATTACTCTGCCAGCAGCATAAATATGATCATTTATTTCAAAAAACAATGTTGTCTATAAGTTCAGTGATGTTCTTCCATCTTTCTGAACATTGCACAGATTAATTAAATGAAGTGACATGGAACTTACAAATTAATTTTAGCAGCAAGCTTAAAGGAAGCCCAAGTGTTATGTTCTCTTCTGTGTTTGTATTTCTCTAAAATTACTTGTCTGAATCACATGAAGAAAAATTAGTTACATAACACAATAATGTTTCCCACTACTTATACGACACGCATGGGATGAAACTTCACAGTGGCTCTGCAGATATTTCTTGTATGTCATAACAAAGAAATATAAGTCCAGAATATTTGAGTATTTTTAGCTGAATCCATCCTGGGCAATTGACATTTCATGCATACTCACAGGAAATTATAAAGAATGCTTCAGTTCAGGAGGAACACCAGAGTTCTATTCCAAGCACATGTATTTAGTTACTTAAAACCATGACAGGATAAGAGTTGAAGTACTTGGAGGTTTTACCCATATCCATATTCAATCTAACACATTGAAGATGTCTGAAACCATGCTTTGGGTTTCACCATTAAAGACCAAGAGATCTGCTATGCTCAAATCTGTCCTGGAATATCAACATTATTTGTGGAGTAGTATCCAGATTTCAGTTTGGCTCCATCTGCATTCACTACTCGCTCAAAATCTTTTCAGGATGAAAATTTCTGTGCTTGGCTTTAGCTGAAAGTGAATTATTTTGGATAGAGAAAGAAAATTCTGTTGATTTGATTAGTTAATTAAAAAAAATATGTCAACATTGATGTTGGCCTTGTGGACTCCTTGAAACACCACACCCCTAAAGCCCCATGCACTGACTGGGCTACATTTGGTGTATTCTCCTCTACACACTGAAGAAAAACCACATGATTTACCAGGACTGCGGATTCCTATTTCTCTCCCCATTGTACTAAATACCTCCTTGGAGAAGCTGGCTCTAAGCAATCATGAAATTTTTCATTTGAGCAGGGTAATAGATTGATTAAACTAAATGCCTTTATACCTGCGTATATTTTGTTACAATAAGTCTGGCTTCAAAAAATCGCTCATGGGTACATACAACTTGTGAACTTTCTCTTTTCCCTGTTACAGTGAACATAAGATGTCAGAACAGTGATGATTTCATGGGATATTTCAATCAAATGGGAAATATTTTCTAAATATGTTGTTTCCATTTCTCGCCATAAAAATTAGCAGTGGTCAGAAGTTATTTGAACTTGCAGTTAACCATACCTCTTTGTTTATCTATGACAGTTCTTATTTTTCCACCACCTATGTTTTTTTACAGTTAATCCATAAAAACACAAGTAACTAAAGCAAGGGGCCTCATAATAATTGGGAAGCTGGACAGGACAAACGTAGATCTGAATCGATGTGGTTAATCATACCTTCTCCCTTTATTGTTTACAAGATGGCAGTTTATATACACTTCAACATAGTTTACAGTTGTGAGCACACTCTCATTGGCAAGCAAACATTTTTTGTCTTTGTCTTAGGGTGGCTAGAGTTTCACACTGCAGACCTATACTAATTCACACCCAGAAATCCCAGCTCTATGCTGACACCTTAACATCATTTCTAACTGCACCACAGACTAATTTCTAACTGCATCCTAGGCCTCAAAGGCCTCACCAAGGCCTGTATCTGAGGCTAGGCTGGGGTAGCTCAACCTTCACTCCAAATATAAATCATGTCCTCTCTCTCTCAGAAATTCTGCTACAGGTAACCTAATTCCTGATGAACTGCTTCTTGAAAATGCTTTCTTACGTGAGATTTGCAGTGTAATAATCTCACTTGTATGGTCTCACGCTGACCTAATAAAACAAAAACCTTTAAGACATACTATAAATCTTTAAAAGTATGAAGTTGAAACCAATGATGACTTTACCTCCGGTTTATGTTAATTTTACATTAAGGTGATTGAGCAACTGCCAAATATTGAGACCACTGTTTTGATTTTCCAGGAGGAATTAGCGATGGCATTATCTGCTCAGCGCCAGGCAGTCGGAAGGGGAAGGATCTCCTCAAAGTTCCCTACGAGCTCTTTGGGGCCTGTCCCCTGAGGGCGGCTCAGGCGTGGCCGGCCAGCAGCCACCAGCACGGTTTTGAGCAGCGGAGCTCGCCCAAGCACAGCCACCACGGCGAGCCGGGCGACGGCGGCCGCGGCGGCTGCGAGCCCAAGGCCCGGCCCAGGCCCGTCAGCCTGCGCCACGCCATCGCCACCGTGGTCATCACCGGCGTGGTGTGCGGTGTGGTGTGCCTGATGATGCTGGCGGCTGCTGTCTACGGCTGCGCCTACGCCGCCATCACCGCCAAGTACCACCGGGAGCATTTGGCCCCCATCGGGCAGCACGGGACTCACGAGGAGAAAGAGCCGTTTGAGGGCTCCATGGCTTGACTTGCTTCTGTCTTTGGCTTCTTGAAAATAAAGCCCTCACTGCAGCTGAAAAGTCTGGAATCTCCATAGCATTGTTTTGATAGAAATTACTGGGGTTGTTTTCTTTCTTTTTGCTTTTTCACACTCTTTAAAAATCTAAGTATATATATTGTTTGGAATATTCACTAAGACTTGGTATAAAACAACAGAAGTTTGTTTATTTTGTTTATGTATACTCCAAAGTCACTACTTAGGGCTGAGTGTTTGAGATCATGAAATCTTGATGTAGTGAGTTTAAAGTATTTCACCATCCTTTACTAACTCTTGATTCAGTATTATACCAAAACATGACCTATGGTACACATACAGTCAGTGGCTGACAGGAGTGATGCTCTGCAAAGAAAAACAGAAAATAGCCATCTAACTTAGTTAAATTAGTTACATTTGTACTATCTTAGAGGGTACAAATTACTATTCAATACAAGATGTATACAAGTGACAAGCAGTTTTTAAACCAGCTACTCTGTGCACTGCCACTGATAATATAAATGTGTTAAAAGCGTTTCCAAAAATGTGTTTTCAACTTTCCAGTCTGCCCCAGAAAGCAGCAATTAAACATTACTTCTATTTCATAATTTAGACAATAGGAAGCACCTTCTTAACTATTCCATACAATATTTTAATTACTTAGTAGGGAAGAAAGAAAAGAGCAGAGAAAATACTGAAGGAAGAAATGCTACAGTGCTTTGGATACAAGCCTCAAAAAGAGTACATAGAGCATACCTGAAGACACTGCCTGGTATTCTGCTGGCTTACAAGCTTGCTACAGAGTTTTCTGAAGCCATTTATTCCCAAATCCTCACTCATTTTGCAAATGCCATGCTGCAGATGCAGCTCCCACCACTGCAAGTGCTGCCCTTCATCAGGAGGATAATATAACTGCATGTTCACACATCATCCCTCTCAGAGGGAACATTCAGCTGGACTCACTCAAGGCTCCATCCTTACTCTCTGCAGAGCTCTTTTGCCATCAGAGGAAATCTGAGCCAAAATTATTTGAATATCATAAGTTTAGAATTCCACCAATATTTCAACTGTGCAGAGGTAGTTATTTTAATGGTCCTTAGAAATTATTTGAAGGCAACCAACAGAGATCAGGAACTCCAGTCACCTTTTCCAAGACTTGATAAAATACATTTTAGGCTATTTGTGACAGACATCTTATGCATCCCCTAACTGTTCTCAGTGACAGGGATAAAGAGCTGTCCAGGCAGCCAGTGCAGAAATCAGCAATGTTTGTAGTATGGAGGAAAAAGGCCATGGAACAACCTGCAACAAGGGCAAGGGGCAGCTGTGTCCTGGCACTTGGAGATCTGCACTCTCCTTCCAACAGAGAGATTCTGGGATCAAGCTCTGTAGCTGCTCCAGTAACAGCCTCAGCTGAGTAATGGGCTCTATGGCAAGAGTCATGTAACCCTTGCTCTTATCTACTTTGTAATAATTGCAACCTAAATATTAAAGCCCATTCACGCATCTGCAGTTACTTTCATGTCCAGAGAATATTAAGCATCTCAGTCTTAATCTAAATCTAGCAGATATTGAAAACAATCAATTACTCTCTGTTCTTTTCTTTTCTTTTTTTTTTTTTTTACTGCTAAGTACATCATATCATTATTAGGTGTTCATTCTTCTCTGTCTTGAACTAAATAAACCAGGCTGTTTCAAATTTTTCCTGCAAGACCACATTTTCCTTTTTTTTCCTCCTGCATTCCCTGGAATCTTTTCAGTTCTTTTACATTCTGTTTAAAATGTGGTATCCTAGACATTACTTCAGCTGAGACATCATCAGAGCAACATTTTTAGAATATTTATATTTTTTACATATGTAGAGTATTTGTATTCAGGCTCTTTAATCTGATATCTTGATGTTTACTTTTTTTATTCTTGTAAATATTTGGTAAAGCTTAACGAATAATCTAACTTACTTTCAGAACTAAGCCATTCAAATATGTAAATCTACATTTTTTACTCTTTTATCCATTTACTGCCACAGCATTTTGCAAAGCAAAGCATAGTTCTTCAGATACAGAAGACAGAAATAGGACAGGATTGGATCTTCTTGCCCATTGGCCGAAAAATGAGTTTGGGGCCATACCAAATCACTGCAGCAACAATCTAAAATGAGCACAGTTGTACTGAAAGTGTAGATCCTGAGATGAAAGCTAATAAACTTCCAACCTCCGGAGAGATTTTGCCCTCAGTGTTTGTAACAGGCTCAGACACAGCAGCACAGCTTCCATCACAAATGACTTCTCACTTCTGATATTTTCAAGCGAAAGAAAGGCAAGAATTGACTTGATATTTCCTAGTCAGAAATAACCCAGAACATCTTCCTAGTCCTTAAAAAACCAGACCTAGCACCAAAAACCTTCAAGACTTTCCTCATTGTATCATCATTCATATATTTTTAAAAAATAAGAAGAAGGAAAAAAGAAACAGTGGAGTCAATTAAAGGCACAACAACATTTAAAGAAACACATTCTGAATCACACTGAAGATGCTTTGGAGATTTTCGTGCACACACAAGGCTGTAAATTGATAGGGAGTTCTGCCAGAAAGCAAAGTTTTAAGTATTTCCATTAGTTCCCTCTGCTGTGGGAACAGAGTGAGCCAATCCATGCAAAATCTGATGCTATACTTCCTAAAATGCTGTTTTCCAAAGGAAAAAACAAACAAAAAACCACCTCCCAACAAAAACAAACAAACAAAAAGAAAAAAAAATCACAGGGAAATTTTTCACTTAGTGTTTATAAGTCTCTATATCATAGTTACCATGGTAAAAGTGTTTGTAATTAACAAATCCAGTCACTTCTAATGATAAAGTAATAGCAGAAAATGACAGAGAGAAGTATTAATTCAATTATTTAATAAAGGTAAAATATTTATTTTTCAGTAAAGGAAACAGGATTTTCATCTACTGATAAACAGAGATAAAAGCCACAATATGCTGTCTGTAAAAATTATTGACTACAGCAAGTGGAAAACCGAATACAGGGAATCCCCACAGAACTGCCCTTAATTTATAAAGCTTAGCAATGGACATCTGCCACTGAAATTATTTGTCTGCACAGATTTAATTTTCAGATAAAGGATTCTGAGAAAGCTTTGTTGTCCTTCCAGCAATCTCATGAGAGTATTATAGTAAGCACAGTATTTTTTTCTAATCTCTGTGAAAAACACTCTTCTCCATCAAACTCAACAAAATATTGGGACATGCTACTCTGCAAGGCATTTGCAAAGGCAGGGAAAGCACACATATTGTTTCATTCCTGCCTTTCATATAAAGGCTCATTATATTGCTTTGTTTACAGAAAAAAAATTTTAAAATTTCATTTTAGAGCAAAAATTGAAGACTATAATACATCCATGTTCTTTATAGAAAATTACCAATAGTATCTATATTGCAAGACACAAAGTTTAAACTGAAACATAATTGCTCGCTATTTTGTCTTTTCATTGAGAGCTTGCAAAACATCAATCAAAATTCAGCTTCATTATTCTCTAGTAATACAATGTCCAAACCAAACCTGAATCTTTCTTCTTGAATATTAAAGTAGCACATTTAGTGACACTACACATAGCTTATCTCTCATTAACAATTTACAAGAAAGTAACAACAATTACAATAATCTAACTTGGCTGCCCAGGAGACAAGGACACACAGGCTTTAGTCAAGCATCCAAAAAGGACGCCTACTTTTACAACTTGGATCTTTTAATTTGGCCAAAAGTGGCATAGTAACCACAATCTTCAGATTTCTGGTATGTCCTGAGTTTGTATTACCTGAAATGTGGTCGCATGTTTTCATGGGGAAAACAGGCAGCAACAGCAGCCACAGCAAACCACAACAGGAGAAAAGGTGTAAGAATCAGAAGCCCACAATAAACAAACCAAAAATACAAACTTGTCACTTGTTTCCAGTGGAAGCTGTGATTGCTGTCTCGTACTGATTGCAGAGGAATCCCTCTGTGTTTTAAGGCTATGGACACAACATGCTCAACTTTTTTGCAAAGGCTGTAATTTTCTTTTCAAGATAAAACACATGAGAAAACACTGTTAATGTTTGGTAATATAGTCCACTGAAGGGAAAATAAATTAATCAGTTCTCAGTACTCAAAATGATAGCAATGTAATCATATTTATGATTGCTGCTTCAACCTTGCTCAGCCTTATTTGAAGTTATCCAAAGGACCCAACAGCTCATCTGCTGCCTTGCTCTGCTTGGTCTGCAGTCAGGGATTTATTTTGCTGGCAGCAGAATTCTTTAGCAAAATGCCCCCAGAATCTGATTGCTGTTAGACCACAAGGATCTTCCTCTTCCACAAATCATGTAGAACTGAAACCCAAGTGACTGACCAACAAATCCCAACAGCAAAGCAGAAATGCAGAAGCAAAGAGCAGATGCTCTATGCCATTTACTATACATATTAATTGGGATGCATCTGTCAAAGTCCTGGATTGTCTAAGAACAAGTGGTGAGGAAAGCCCAAGAATTAGATAAATAGAGGTTGAATTCTCAAGTTAAACCAGCAGAGAACTACCTCAAAAAAGCAGAAACACTAAGAAACTACTCAACAGACTGATTCTGTAGGGTAAATTAACTGAGAATAGATGCAAATGAATGTAAATGTCTGAATTGTGAATATGTCACTGACTTCAGCTTCTATGTTCAGCCAAGGGAAAGGGACAGGACTTCACCACATGCCCCAAAGCTCATCACTCCTCTTCCAAACCATCTTTCCCAAGTAATGGCCGCCAACATGTGAGTTGCTTAATGTTAGGCTGTACAAATCTCAGTTTTTCTAAAGCTGGAAACATTAGTCTGTATACCAATATTAGATTTATGAATACAAAAACAATATTGAAAATGAACAAGAAACTCTGGAAAAACATGAAGTCATGGTTTTTACAAAACATGAAAAACATTTTGAGGGATTTGCTAAATGCTACTGCTGAACATAATATTCTGTGGCTTATAATGGGGAGTAAAGGTTAGGTAAATCACTCTCCTGCCTGACAAGAAAAGCATCTATTTTAGAATGCCTCAAAAATTTGGTTGGTGTATCATTATGATGACATATTCATTTTCCCCTAGGCCTCCATATTAAAATGCAATTTTATAGATGGTATCATAAATTTTAAGGACTGTATATGGGATTGACATTTGCCTGAATGTTCTTAAAAATGATATGAAAGCAATACATGTGAAAAAAGATAGGAAAAAGACATCCAAGAAGAACAGAGCAGATGTATTTGCTCTATGTACTACTGTAACATCAGCAGATTGCAGTATTTATGGAACATTAATAGTATCTGTCACTTCTAGAAATATCAATAGCT